GCAGCATCTTGAGGCTTCATAAATTATAACTATATTTTATTATTTCTCTATACATTTTTTTTACCAGTCACACCTTGTTAATCTCAAGAAGCAAACAAACCTCGGAAAGTATAGCTAATTACAACTATAATAAGACAGACTTCTCATAAAACAAAATTGTAAGGAAGAATATCTTCATGGAAAACAAAAATCAAAATATGATACTTGACTCGGTCTACATATAATAGATACTCTTCATCGTTAATTAGGCACAAAAAAAGGAATATGGTTGTTTGAATACTCACTCGGCGGCGGTCTACTGGACGGTACTTACTGAAGTAGGAAAATTATCTCAAGAGAAAGGGGAAAATACCTCAAAATGAAGTCACAATAGAAAAGGTAATAAATTCCCAATACATGTTTTTTTAACCTCAATTGATTAATTATAAATTGTAATTTAGACCACCTCTCCCCCCAAAAAGAACCTCAAGTGAGTAATTGCAAAAACAAAAAAAACAACCAAATTTTTTTTATTACTTCTCTATTAGAGCCACAAATCTCCAAATTTCTAAATTAGACCCAAAATATTGATATTTATTTAAATAGGGGTCTTATCTGAAACAATTCAATAGGTCAGTATAATTAAAATTATAAAGGCGTTATCTATCAAAAAAACTTAATGGATTTGAGTGTCCAAAATAGAAATATGAATATATGGGGGTCTATTATAGTCGCATACAACAAAGATTTAGGTCTAATATGACAGAAATATCTGGATCATCATAAGCTTTCTTTGTCTCAGCTTTATTTAAATTGATTTGTTTTTTCCACGTTAACAAGATGTAATCATGGTAGAAAATCAAAACAATTTATTAGCTAACCTTCACGATTTAAAAAAAAACTGATGTACATAATTTATCAAAATAGATCAAAGAGAACATTTTATTTTATATTTTTATATAAATCCAGGATGGTCATCATGAGAGCATCCATTGTCACAGATTAATTGGTATGTAATTTGATGAAGTGATCGAAGACCTCCTCCTAAACTTTAATGTATATCACTAAGCAAGAGCATACCATTTCAGTAGAAAAAGATAACTTAAAGCATATGCAAACCCTCCCTAGCAACTTACTTTTTATTCTATGACACAGACATTAAATAATCAACAATCAGAATCAGTAACAACCAGATTAGGCCTATTAATTGAAACATAATAACCTTATCTACTTACTCCAATCATAATGCACAAGAGGATATACTCATTAATACAGCTCAAAAATAATGTTAATAATTAAAAACAAACATCCATATTAACTGAAAAGATGCAATAAACAGTAACAACAGAGCTTATACCTGATCCTCCTTAAGGAAAAGAGTGATCTTCGTTCCCCTTCCAATACTCTCCCCAGGGTCCCTGGTAACAGTGAAAGACCCTCCAGCCTGGGACTCCCAGATATACTGCTCGTCATCATTATGCTTGGTAGTCACAACCACGCGCTCAGCAACAAGATAAGCAGAGTAGAACCCAACACCAAACTGACCAATCATGCTAACATCAGCGCCAGCAGCCAATGCCTCCATAAACTCTTTGGTTCCAGACCTGGCAATGGTACCGAGATTGTTGACCAGATCAGATTTCGTCATCCCAATTCCACTATCGATGATCGTGAGAGTGTTGGTGGCCTTATCGGGGATA